GGGTAGCATATTTTTTTATAGCTTCTTGAGAAAAACAATATTGAAGAAGTATATATTTGAGATGTTATATGCCTGAAAAGTATATTGTATCCTCATGTGTAATTGACTGATCCAAAATATTCATTATTTAATATTTTTTTCAGTATTTTTCTCAGCTTTTGAGTCCTGATCCCTTTTGCTCATTTCCCTGTTTTATTGAACTTAATATGGAGTACTATTTTAAGTTTTCTGAGAGTTCTTTCTCATTCTCCTAGCCTTTTTAAAAACTTTGTTCCATTGATTTAATATCTTATCTCATTCATTGACAATGATAATTATTACTGTGAAATGTTTTTTTGCTCCCCTCCCTGGCCTCTTCTGAGTCTCTGCTTTTATCACTGTCTTTCATGTTGGGAACTTTTCTCAAATATTTTTTTTCTTGTTTCTCTAGTCATTGCTGACACCGAGACACTAAAAAGCTAATTGTCAGGAGTGTGTTTTGTGTTTGATGGAGGAGGGCTGGAGCTCAGGCTTCTTTAGTGAACATCACTGTATGGCAGTTCTGTGGTTAGCTAGCATTTTCACTGTAGACTAAGCTTAGTATTGATAATTATTTTATCTGGGGAAGTTTAGTTTCTTTGCAAAAGTATCTTTCAGTTTACTTAAGTTTGGTTGCTGTCTACCATTTGCGTGTTAGACAGGATGAAGGAGCTCCCCACACTTTGCAGTTCACATATATCCCTCCTCTGTGTCTTATAATTCCAAATCTCTAGTTTATTTTCTTCAGGGAATGCATTACTGGACTTCCAAGATGAGTGTGTGGTAGAGAAATTGCCTGATTGTCTAGATTTGGAGTGGATGTTTAAACATTTAATTACTTCATATATGAGCTTTTAAATAATATAATTCATCCTCCATGTCCATAGATTCTGCATTCACAGATTTAACCAACTATGCATGGAAAATATTTTTTTTAAAAAACACACCATGTTATGTTGTTGCTGACTTATAGAGCCTATGTACTGAACATGTACAAACATTTTTTATTATTATTTCCTAAACAACTGTTTACATAACATACATTGTATTAAGTCTTATAATTTAGAGATGATTTAAAGTATACAGGAGGATGCTCATAGGTTATATGCAAATACTACACCATATATATGGTATAGTATTTGCATATTATATATATATATATATATATATATATATATATATATATATATGCCTAAGCAACTGTCTGACCGGTAGCTATGATGCACAGTGATCACCAGGGGGCAGATGCTCAACACAGGAGCTGCCAAACAATAGCAACTTTGCAGAATGCCTTCTTGCACCCTAGAACTCCTCAGGGGATGTCGGACTGCCAGTTTTGACCTGATCCCTGCAGGCCAGGCCGAGGGGCCCCACCTGCCGCAGGGACCCTGATCACTCTGCAGATGCCCTTTGAGTCCCAGCACCATCCCAGATGCCCTCGACCCGGGAGGAACTCCAGGAGGTTGGCTCCAGGGCGTGTCCAGCTTATCTCACCCAGTCCTGCCCTGCCGACCACCTTCTAATTAATTTCCACTCAGTGTGCACGAATCCGTGCACCGAGTCCCTAGAATTATATGAGGGACTTTAATTCCTGGATGCTTCTGGTTTCTACAGAGAAAAATCATTTTGTGGGGTTTTTTTTCTTTTAGAAATAGTTGTCATACTTATTGATAATTTGGTTTGATTTGTGTGCTCTCTGCTCATCATTCTGCTTTCCATATTCATATATTATTATATTGTCATTTGGTGTTACAAGTATTGTCTCTTGATTTATTAAAGGTGAAAATTGTTTTTTCCTTATTATATTTCAGGATTGGTAAATCTTTATTATTTAGAAAGTAGAAGCTATAAGCCTTTTTGTTTCTTTAAATAAGTTTTTTTTTTTTAACTAAGAAGAAATATAATTATACCTCTCTTACAGATTTAGTTTGTTCTATTAGCAAACTTATTTCTAAGGTGTACAGTAATAGTTTCCAAATGTATAGTTGATAAAACTAAATATAAATGGAGTTTTTAGTTTTCATTTTTATGTTTAGAAAGACATAAATCAAATTATTAGATATTGTTTAAAAGAGCCACCCTAGCCGGGTGGTTCAGTTGATTGGAGTGTTGTCCCATGCATGCACCAAAAGGTTGTAGGTTTGATTCCCAATCAAGACACATCCTAGGTTGCAGGTTTGATCCCTGGTCAGGGCGTGAGGCAAAGGATCAATTTTTCTTACACTGATGTTTCTCTCTCTTCCTGACACTCACCCTCAATGCCTACAATCTTAATTTAAACCATTTTATTTGCTGGTAACCAATTCCTTTTGTTCCAGTGTTTTTCCTCTGTTTTTCTTCTATTGGGACTGTAAATTCATTAATGCTATATTTTTAGTGTTTTAGTATACTCTTTTTTTAAAAAAAAAACCCATATTTTATTGAGTTTTTACAGAGAGGAAGAGAAAGAGATAGAAAGCTAAAAACATCGATGAGAGAGAAACATCAATCAGCTGCCTCTTGCAAACCCCCTACTGGGGATGTGCCCGCAACCAAGGTACATGCCCTTGACCGGAATCGAACCTAGGGCCTTTTAGCCCACAGGCTGACGCTCTATCCACTGAGCCAAACCGGTTTTGGCCTAGTATACTCTTTATGTCTGCACTTCTTCAGTTCAGATTCTGTCCTTCAGATTTTTTTATAATCATGTCCTACTCCATACCTGGACCAAAGCAGCTGAAAGTGGCTAATGAAAAACACATAATCATAATGTTAGGGCTTTACATTTTTCTCTCAAGTGGACCTTTAATGCTACCTAGGAACCCTATTACACTATTCCACTTCCACAGTTGAGATATCAGCTATTAAAGTTTGTATACTTTTGGGGATGGGGAACACCCTGTATTTTAAGCTCTCTCTTCAGTGTACTATTTGTTCTCTCCTTTTTCTCCTTTTACTGTTCTATAGTCTGTTCACACAGAAGTTTAGAATGTAAATCAGAATATTTCTCACCCCAAATTTTCCAGTGGGACTTACCTCACTTATATTTAATCATAAGATCTTATTTGATCCTAGGAGAACCTATGATGTGGCTCCTTGATTTTTTTCTTCAACCTCATCTCCTGCCTCTGCCTATTTCTGTGCTTTAGCCACACTAACCACCTTGCTTTTTTATGAGTGTCCACCTCATAACAATTTACCTCATTACCTTTGGAACCCTGTTCTGTTATACGTGCTTTTTCACTCACAGGAACTCTTCAGACAGGCCTTCTTGCCTGACCATCTGCTTTACTCCTTATCCTCTTACCATACTTTTTTTTTAAACCATACTTTAGTTTTCTTGTTAGATATTTTCATTATCTATTTTTCATTTATATATTATCTGTTTATTTATTCTCACTAGAGAGTAAAAAATATGAGGGCAGATTCAAGAAAATATGTATCTCAGCTTCCACTGGTGAATTCCAGCCAGGGTTGGTGTTAATTTTAATACTTTCCAATACTTTGTTTTATAGAACTATATAGTATATAGTGTATAGAAGTATATAGTAAGTTAAACTTCATTGGGTAAGACTTTGTATGCTCAGGACATGCTCTGTTAAACTATTATTCCTGACTTGGAAAGTTTTAATTATCACAGTTCCTCATGTTCTTGAGCTCTTTCCCTTTTTTATACAGATTAATTTAAAAAATGCTTTTAACTTTCATAGTATTACCAGATATTGTGCTGACAATGTGTAAAATTACTAACCTATATTTTGAAACAATATTTCTCAGCTTACTCTGTTGACACATTGTATCTCAAGAAAAGGAAAACATTTTCATTAAATACATTTCCAAATGGACTCTAATTTTAATACATTTGTTTTTAGAATTTATGTTTTATATTTTGATTTAAGGGCAGTAGCAATCACTGTTAACATGGAGTTAGCCAAAATGTAGATAGAGTTTCAGAGAGAGAGAGAGAGAAAGAGAGAGAGAGAGAGAGAGAGAGAGAGAGAGAGAGAGAGAGAGAGAGAGGGAAAAGATAGGTAGGTAGAGATACAGCATTTATGTATATATATTTATATATGTATTTTAAAGAGAAATAGTGACATTTTAAAAGAAATGCATGCTCATATGTAGGTTTGGATATTTAGTTTGGATATGAAGATAAATGGATAAATTTTTCCAAAACATTGATTAGTTCATTTTTTATAATGGAGCATTTGTTTTTGCAGGTGAATAACCTTAAAAAAAAAGAGGGAAATTATTTTATCAATACCAACCCTCTTATTTCTCTACCAGTATTTCCTACATTTTCACAATCTCAATAATGAATATAAATATGAAGAGATAAAAGTTTAAGGTTTATATCATACTTGTTTCTTAGAGCACTTGAAACAGAAGTTTGAAAATACTTAAGAAGATTTACAAATACAAGTGAACATTTAAAAGTATGTTAACACTATGACTCGAAAATAGGTCAGACAGAAATTCACAGAATACATTTTTAATGAATTTAATGAGATTGGTAGGATCAGTTTGTTTTTCTGGGGTTGGAGGTTATATTATGCCATTCACTGGGGTTAGCAATATAAGCAGAGGAACCTTCTTTGGGGTACGAATCATGAACTGATTGATGCATCTAATATAGGTATTAAGGAAGTAATTGTATACTCAGAACTGGTGGTCAAAGAGTAGATTTGATTAGTATGCTCTCACTAAAGTGTGCATATTTGAGGACTCGGGAGATTGGTTGTAGAAGATACTATCTAAATCTGTCTTGCAGATGGTTATTAAGATAGGGCTGTTTTTAAGTGGGAAAGGTTAATGAGCCAAACTCTAGTGACATTGTTTCAGAGTAAGATGACAACTTCTATAAAATAATTTTTCTTTTTTACTTAAATTATGCCTGATTATAAAACAGAAATTCTTTTCATCTGTTTCCATTATAAATATGTAACCTTATGGATGAAGTTCTGATTCATGATTGAATACTATAGTCTTCATTTATTTCATAGCTATGAAGCTCATGACTGCTTTGGTGAATGTTGCCTTAAACCTCAGTATTCATCAAGATAATACACAGAGACAATATGAAGCCGAAAGAAATAAAATGATTGGGAAAAGAGCCAATGAAAGGTTGGAGTTACTACTTCAGAAACGCAAAGAGGTAAGTTTCATGATATCTGAAATTCTTATGTTAATATAAATGTGTAGGATATATATATATATATATATATATATATATATATATATATATATCATATTAGTTTTTTTATTCCCTGTAAAACAGTTTGTGTATTTTTAAAAATATATATATTTTATTGATTTTGTACAGAGAGGAAGGGAGAGAGATAGAGAGTTAGAAACATCGATGAGAGAGAGTCATCGATCAGCTGCCTCTTGCACACCCCCTACTGGGGATATGCCCGCAACCAAAGTACATGCCCTTGACCGGAATCGAACCCGGGACCTTTCAGTCCCCAAGCCGACGCTCTATCCATTGAGCCAAACCGGTCTCAGCTGTATTTTCTTAATTTACTTTTAAAAATTATATTATTTGATCTCAAAGTTTTAAAATGAACCTATAGTATTCAGCCAGTGTTTATCAGAGTGCTGTCTAATAGCAGAAGAGAGTCACAGAACAATTCTACCTTTGAAAAAAAGTAGTGCGGGAATTAGGTAACTCATAAACATTATCAGGCTATGGGCAAAGAAAGCGTGATAAGTATCAACACAAGAGCTAAGGGCCAGCCGGAACTGGTGTGGCTCAGTGGACAGAGCGCCGGCCTGCGAACTGAAAGGTCCCTGGTTTGATTTCGGTCTAGGCCATGTACCTTGGTTGCTGGCTCCTCCGCTGTGGGAGGTGTGTAGGAAGCAGCTGATCCATGATTCTCTCTCATCGATATTTCTAACTCTCTATTCCTCTCTTCCTCTCTGTAAAAAAGCAATAAAATTAAAAACAAACAAACAAACAAAAAAACACCTAAGGGCCAGCAAAGCTTGCATTTCTAGGCGAGAGCAGAAGCCTACACATTAACTAAATGTATAAGGCACTCTTGTGAATAAGATTGGTCTCAGTTTTACAATGAAATTTTCATATATGTGTTGAAAATTACTTTAGATTTTTAGTAGGTAATTTTTATTCAATAGAAATAAAATTTTAGATCTACAGTATTAGTCTATATTTTAAATTGAAAAAGGATTACTATCACATTGCTACAAATTTCTATCAATGAATAATGGGTTATAACAGGCAATAAGAAGCAGCAAACTTATGATTAAATTATAATCCATTCTGTATTAGCATGCTAGGGCTGCTGTAATAGATACCACAAACCGAGTGGCTTAAAGAAAAGGAATTTTTTTCCTCAGAGTTCTATGGGCTACAACTCAAAGATAATTCCAGTTCTTCATATGGCCTTCTTTCTCCCTGTGTGTGTGCAAGTCTTTAAATTTCTACTTTTTCTAAAGATACCAGTCATATTGGATTATGGGCCCCACCCTACATAATCTATGCCATACCCTATTTCCAAATAAGGTTTGATGTAGCAAGGTTTAGCACTTTAGCATATGAATTTTTGAGAGGTACAATTAAACTCAGAACACATACTATATTTATAATACTGTGGGAGTAAATTTTGGAACTGTGGCTTCAGTAAGTACTACTAACCAAACTATGATATATATTCTTATAAATTATTTTTTAAAATAAGTGCAAGAAAAGTGTAACTTACAAGTAAGTTGCAATATTGTGAATGCTTTGCCATAAAAATATTCTTAAACTTATTTCAGTCAAACCTGAAACAGTATACAGCAAAAAAAATAAATCTGGCTCTGGTCGAGTGGCTCAGTCCCATATACCAAAGGGTTATGGGTTTGATTCCAGGTCAGGACACATACCTGGTTTGTGGTTTGATCCCCAGTTGGTGCATGTGTGGGAGGCACCCAGTCAATGTTTCTTTCTCTCATATTCTCTCTCTCTCTCTCTCTCTCTCTCTCTCTCTCTCTCTCTCTCTCTCTCTCTCTCTCTCTCTTTCTCTCTCAAGTTCATAAAAAACATTTCCTCAGGATGAGGAATTAAAAAGAAAGAAGTCTGAAGGAATAAGTCTGAGGAGTTTTGTCACATTGGAGTTTGCATAAAAGCCAGTATTTCACTGAGTATTAACACAAAACAAATTAGAATAAGAAATATTACATTGAATGTAATTTTATATCAGTGTTTTTATTCCTTTTGAGCAGTGAATAAACTCAAAACTTTAATTCTGATCAGTAGTGTTGACTAAAATTTATTATCTTTGCTGTAGTGCTTTATTTTGTTGCTACATTCCACCACTGATGGCCAGGAACCTTGTTACTTTCGAGTATGCCTCCTATACGGGGAACTTAGCCTGTTCTGTCATGAGCTAATCAGATGTAGAGTCATATTTGGATACTTTAGGTAGAATAGGAAATTTCTTCTACAGTGGCAAGTATGATAATCATGGGAAATCTTTTGCCAATAAAGGCAAAATCAAGCCAAGGACCTGGTTTGGACAAAAGAGGTATAGAAATTGAATACTCTTCCCAAAGCAAATGATATTTTGGAGATAGAAATCTCACCACCTTAGCACCACTTTCTTTTAGTGTCAAGAAAAAGAGAGATTCTAAATCCACTAGTATAGTTGTAGAAGTAATGCGATAATACTGGTAATATGTTGCCCAATAAGTGAGGAAAAGGATTGATAATTACCCAAAATGAAAATTAGCAGTTATTAAAAACATTTGGAACTCTTCATTGTAAATCAGCTATTTTTAACCTGTGTGCCTTAAGAGGCTTTCTGGTTTAACACAAGAATTTTTAAAGCATGCAATACCTGACTATTTAGTTAGGGGCACTGACCTATTTTCCCTGAGATTGTCAAACACAATAGGCTTCTGGTGTGAATGAATCAAAATTATACCTTTTTTTGTCAGATCAGCAAAATAAAAAAGTTTTGTATGTGCGTGCAGCAGAATTTTAATAGTTTGTGTGCGCCATGAGATGAAAAGGGTTAAAAACCACTGTTCTAAATAAAATAATCAACATTTTAATTAATTTATTTTTTATTTCAGCTACAAGAAAATCAGGATGAAATCGAAAATATGATGAACTCTATTTTTAAGGGTATATTTGTTCATAGATACCGGTAAGGGATTTTTAAAATCATTTAGAAGATTTTAAACTTATAATTTATTGATTCTTTGTAGTTCTAGGTAGTTCTAGAGATAAAAAACTCGTCTTGATTTGTTTTCTGATAAACATCTTTGGTTATAAAAGCTAAATAAATGTTACTGTTATGCTGTCATTGCCACACTTCCAAATTCAGTACATAACACTATTAGAGGCACCCTGTGTACTTGGATTTGTATTGATGGGATAGGTAATCTTAAGTTAATGTGCCCTTAATGAGATGTGATTGTCTTAATAATTGCCTTGCTTCCTGTCCTGTGGTACTCACCTTGTTTCATGGTCAAATTAACCAGCAGTCTGTGAAGATAATACAACAACTTCATAACATTATTTTTCTTTACCTTCAGCTATATGCATGAAAGTAGAAGCATAGTATTTCCTAACTATTTTTGTCATGCTACACTGCAAATGAATTGAGGTTGTCTTTCTGTGAAACCTGTGAACTTTAAAAACATTAACTACATTATTAAATAGCATATTTCACAAGAATTAGTGGCTCATATACATACACTTGTTACTTTCTGTTAATTAATTATACATGCTTACTTTGGGTTTCACTTTCTCTCTTCTTTAGTCTCTCAAGGTGGAAACTGAGGTAATTGGTTTGAAACCTTTTTTTCCCCCTAATATAGGAATTTAGTCCTATACATTTCTCTCTTAGCACTACTTTAGCTATATCCCCTTAAATTTGCACACATTGTGTTTTTATTTTCATTCAGCTCAAAATATTATATTTTGGCTCATTTCTTTGACCCATGGGTTATTTAGAAGTGTGGTATTTAGTTTGCAAATATCTTAGATCTTTCTAAATAACTTTCTGTTATTGATTTTTAATAGTTCTATTGTAGTCAGAGAACATAATTTGTATGATTTGAATGTTTTTAAATTTATTGAGACTTGTTTTATGGTCCACAATATGGTCTCTCTTGATAAATGTTTTAGTTGCCGAGGAAAAGAATGTGTATTGTGCTTTTTCTTTATATCAATTAGGTCAAAATTTGTTCATAGTATTGTTTGAGTCTTTCATCTTTACAAATTTACTGTTCTAAGAGTATTTTTTTGTGTTCATGATAAGTCTTCATGTACACAATGTATTATCACATAAATGACTTGCAGTTATTTTTCCCCCCAGCCTATCACTTTCTGTTTGTTTGCTTCATAATGCCTTTTGGAGAGCAAAAGCTTTCAATTTAAATGAATTTATTTCTTGATTTTATTTATGTGATAATGTTTTTGATGTCATATTTTGAGCATTTTGTTTAACCCAAAATTTTCTTCTGTGTTTTATTGTAGAAGTCTAAACTATTTAATCTTTTCAGTTATGAACCATATATAAAGTTAATTTCTGCATATGGTGAAATAATAAGGATATTAGTCCAACTTTTGCATATTAATTTGTCCAAGCACCATTTGGTAAAGACTATCCTTCTCCAATTGATTTGTCTTGGCACTGTTTTTGAAAATCAAATGACCATAAATATCTACAACTTTTTATTTCTGGATTTGCTAATCTGCCTGTGTACTCATACTAACTATATTTATTACTTTAGCTTTAGAGTAGGTGGCATTTTTTTTTTAGCTTTATTGATATATAATTGACATATAATATACGTAATTTTAAGGTATACAATGTGATGACTTGATACACAGATATATTCTTAAATAATGACCACAGTAAGGTTAGTTAATACCTCCATCATATCATATAGTAGTAATTACCTTTTTGTGTGTATGTGGTGATAAAAATTTGAGATGTACTCTCAGTAATTTTCCAGTCTGTAATACAGGATTGTTTCTCTAGTCACCGTAACTACACATTAGATCCCCAGAATTTATTCACGTTATAACTGAAAGTTTATATTCTTTGTTCATTATTTCCTTATTTTTGCCAATACTCCCTCCAATCTTCTGGCAGCCACCATTCTGCTCTCTCTTTCCTTGAATTTGACTATCTTAGATTCCATATTTAAGTGAGAATATACAGTTTTTTATAGTAAGTTTTTAATGTCAAGTAGTGTTAAGTTCTCCTCCTTTGTTCTTTTTCAAAATTGTTGGGATTATTATACCTCTCGCACTTTTCTATATAAATTTTAGGATTAGCCTTTCAATTTTTATGCAAAAGCTTGCTGGGATTTTGATGGAGAATATAACGAATCTGTAGACCAGTTTGGAGAGACTTAACCTCTAAATAATACTGAATCCTCCAATCTATGATTGCATCTTAATTTATTCAGATGTCCTTTAATTTTTTGAGGAATTTTTTATGATTTTCGGTGTACAATTTTTCAGTGCTTTTATTTTATGCTATTATTATAGTAAATGGAATTGTTTTTTATTTTTTAATGTTTTTATTGATTTCAGAGAGGAAGGCAGAAGGAGAGATAGAAACATCAGTGCTGAAAGAGAATCGTTGATTGGCTGCCTCCTGCACATCCCACACAGGGGATTGTGCCCTCAACCCTGGCATGTGCCCTTGGCCAGAATCAAACCTGGGACCCTTTAATCCGCAGGCTGATGCTCTATCCACTGAGCCATGCCAGCTAGGGCCTACCTTTATATTTCTTGTTGATTAATAATGGTAATATATTTTTCAGGCAATATGGTCATTTCAAGTATATTGCACATTTGATGGCATAATGTTCATTATATTTCCTTATAATTCTTTTCATTTCTATAGGATTGCCCGTGATGTCTCCGTGTTCATTCCTGATTCTGTAATATGTGTCTTCTCTCTTTTTTGTCTTAGTCTAGCTTAAAGATTTATCAGTTTTATATTTATGTCGTTGATTTGTGCTTCATTCCTTACTATTTCCTCCTGATTTCTTTTGTTTTAACTTAACTTTTTCTTAGTTTCCTATATTACTTGTGATGTTTTTGACTTATAAGTTATTATTTTGTTTAACTTCCAAATATTTGGAGGTTTTCTAAATTAAATTTTAATAATTTTTATATTAATTACATTGTAGTAAGGAAACATGCTCTGAGAAATTAGTTTGCAATTGGATGGGATATATATATATTTTTCAACCAAATGGGTTTATTAGAAAAAAAATTTCATGTACATATAAAATAATATATTCTAGTGCTCTATTATATCCTGTTGTGTTGACCTATTTATCACAATGAAATAGCCTTTTCTGGTATTAATTTTTGTCTTACAGATTTCTTTCGTTGCTTTAGAGATTAAAATGTGAAGCATAAGTTATTAGAAACTATATACCATTAACATGACTTAATTTGACAAAATTATAGCAACTTTGCTCCACTTTCTTTTTTTTTTCTTTTAAAAAAAATATATTTTTTTAATTGATTTTTGTACAGAGAGGAAGGGAGAGAGAGAGATAGAGAGTTAGAAACATGGATGAGAGAGAATCATCGATCAGCTGCCTCTTGCATATCCCCTACTGGGGTTGTGCCCGCAACCAAGGTACATGCCCTTGACCGGAATCAAACCTGGGACCTTTCAGTCTGCAGGCTGAAGCTCTATCCACTGAGCCAAACCGGTTTCGGCTTGCTCCACTTTCTTATCTTCCGTTGTGCTTATTGTCATATATCTACATATATAAAAGCCTAAGTGACCAGCCAACCATTTGACCAGCTGATCAGTAGCTATGATGTGCACTGACCACCAATGGTCACACACTCAACACAGTCCACAAAGGGGTGCACCAAAGTGTCTACTTCAGTTAACTGAAACACTGACCCATAAATCGTATAGGACACCCAGCACATAAAGCCACCGTACCAACTCAGGGAAGCAGCGAAAACGAGACAGGGAAATAGAACACAAATGGAAAAAAATGGAAGAGAATAAATGACTGGGCGTAGAGTTCAAAACCACGGTTATAAAATTTTTCAAGAATTAACTAGAAATAAACTTAACAAGACCCTAGAGGATATGAAAAAGGACCAACTAGAAATTAAACATACACTGACTGAAATAAAAAATATTATACAGAGACCCAGCAGCAGACTAGAGGAATGTAAGAATCAAGTCAAAGATTTGGAATACAAAGAGGCAAAGGACATTCCTCTGGAGAAGCAAAAAGAGAAGAGAATCCAGAAAGTTGAAGATTGTGTAAAAAGCCTCTGGGACAACTTCAGGTGCACCAACATCAGAATTATGGGGGTGCCAGAAAAAGAGAGAGAGCAAGACACTAAAAACCTATTTGAAGAAATAATGACCAAAAACTTACCCCACTTGGTGAAAGAATTAGACTCACAAGTCCAGGAAGTGCACAGAACCTCAAACAAGAGGAATGCAAAGAGACCACACCAAGACACATCATAATTAAAATGCTAAGAGCAAAAGACAAAGAGAGAATCTTACAAACAGCAAGAAAAAAACAGTTACTACAAGGGAATGCCAATAAGATTTCAGCTGATTTCTCAACAGAAACTATGGAAGCCAGGCAGGAGTGGCAAGAAATATTCAAAGTGATGAATAGCAAGAACCTACAACCAAGATTACTCTACCCAGCAAAGTTATCATTCAGAATTGAAGACCAGATAAAAAGCTTCACAGCTCAGAAAAAGCTAAAGGAGTTCATCACTACCAAACCAGTATTATATGAAATGCTAAAAGGTGTTCTTTAAAAGAGGAAAAAGATGCTGAAACCTGTTTGGCTCAGTGGTAGAGCGTCGGTTTGCGGACTGAAAGGTCCCAAGTTCGATTCCAGTCAGGCATGTACATTGGTTGCGGGCACATCCCCAGTGGGGTGTGTGCAGGAGGCAGCTGGTCGATGGTTCTCTCTCATTGACGTTTCTAGCTCTCTATCCCTCTCTCTTCCTCTCTGTAAAAAATAAATAAGATATATATATTTTTTAAAGAGGAAAAAGAAGAAAAAAGTAAAGATAGATATGTATTTTTTGTTCATAATTTTTATCAACAAGTGAATCTAAAAGTCAAGTGAATTAAAAATCTGAGGAACAAAATAAACTGGTGAATATAATGAA